GTTGTCCCAGTCGGGGCATGGTGGCGGATAACTAACTAGGTCCACCTGCTACTATGGCCATGTGTGGATCCCATGGCAAAACTTTAGCCCTACACTTTTAGCTCTTTTTTTTTGCCATGAGGATCCAAACAGGGGGCTAAAAATGAGCAAATGGCTAAAAACTGGGCTAAAATCTTTTGCTCCCAAAGAGGCCCTAAACTGGGCTAAACTCCCTCGGGGCGGGCGCTGGACGCCCCATACCCCTTGCCGCTCGCATGCATGGCTATACATGGATAATTAAATGAGGGTAAATCAGTTATTATATATTAGAGCACTAAAGTTTAGCCCATGGATCCAAATAGCCTAGCAGGACTAAAGTTTAGGGCTAAACTTTAGTCTTTGGACTAGTGATCCAAACACCACCAATGTTGTCCTCAACGACCTCACTGTGAAGCCCGTTAGTGCCAGCCTCAGCGTCATAGGAAGGCGGGCCAGTGAGGTGATGCAGGCAGCAGCGACACCGATGCTGGAGGTGAGGTACAGCACCTCCCGCGCGTAGCGGTAATCCAAGGGTGCCTCATCATGGGGAGGTGGCACGCACGATGGCCACATTGAGGTCCAACCCCCGTCACACGCGAGATGCCGATTGGGATGGGAGAGAAGAAAGGGAAGGAGGAAGTAGAAACTAGTAGGGCAAAATGGACAAATCACAACTCTTCTCTCTCTTCTCTAGAGCCGGAAATGGATATTTTGTTCGGCGCAATGTCCAACAGCAAATTTGACAAGAAATAAAGCGTCGACTAGCAAATCACACTTATTTCCATGTCCTATGACAAAGAGAGGTCATTCTCTGTGTCGTGTTGCCAATTTTACCTATTAATTACCATGTGCGTGTGGTATTACCATGCATCTATTATATATTCCGTAAAAAAAAGAATACTATTATAACATAGCATCGATTCAAACCATTTTCAATCCGATCAAGTTTATAAAAGGCATATCAGTATTTATAACATTGGTCCTGTTCGCTTGTCTTATGAGCCGTACTGTTTCAGTGAAAGAACAGTGTTTTTCTCTCACAAAAATCGACGAACAATACTTTTAGCCAAGGCTTTTCAGCGAAGCGAACAGGGCCATTGAATAAATGTCAATTGTTTATCATGATATATAGTTTCATAGTATACATAATCAGAAGATAATTCGTAGTGCTCAGCAAGTCACTTTCAGTGACTAAATATTCTCTTATATATATCATAATCAGAAGATATATACAATTCATAGTGCCCTCGAGCCATGGTCATCGTCGCCATCATCGCTCGCACTACACTGTGGAATGCATGGAGAAGAATTGAAGGCCATGGCCATGAAAAAAATGAGTACGTACGTCATCCAATGCAAAAGTGTGTCCACGGAAAGCACAACGTAGCAGCCAAACAGGTGTCACCATTTTGGGTCATTCATGTATCTAATCTGACTCATCATATAGGATGGCTAGCTGGAAAATGATGCATGCTGGTACGGCAGCTTGTCGATTAGTGTGCTAGCTACCTAGCTTATCCCTGTCATAACCAAATGATACTTTAATTCGGTGGATGGATGGTCATTTTTTAAAAGGGAAATGTCAAGGAGAAAAAGGGGAACGGATTGAAGACACACGCGTAAATACCCAAAATGATCAGCATGCATGTATGATTGATGTACTATGTTGATATATAAGCTCAGAGTCCTCTTGGGTTGTCAATTTGCCATTGCCGACAGGTAATATTGTTCTGCTCATTGTTCCGTGTTTAAGCCTTAGATTTTTTATAACCGTCACGAGTACTTTTTACAGTGTTTTTTCTCTCACAACAAATCAGCATAACCTAAATTTCAGTGAAACGAACAGAGCAACATGTATAGTGTGTGCGCGCATGTTAATAGAAATGAGATATGATAGTACATGTGTATAGCAGTGTTATGTGTCTTCCAAATTTTTTTTTGAAGTTCTAACAATCTTCTCTACTTTATTAATTTGTTCGTCATACACAGTACGAGTATATGGTTTTCAAATAATTTGGTCAGAGCTAATATCCGCTAATCCGACTATCAGGCAGCAGGCTATCACAAAACTAATACCCACTTCGTTCCAAATTATAAGACGTTTTAGCTTTTCTAATACTTTTGCTATGCATTTAAATATACACTATATACGTCTAGATAATTGTATCTAGAAAAGTCAAAACATCTTATAATTTGGAACAGAGGAAGTACAACTCCGTTGGTCACAAGATTAATTAAGCTTTATTTGGTGCTCCGTCAAAGATTTTTGGGCATTCCATTTGACAGGGGTGTTATTGGTAATTTGCCATTGACATGAAGTGAAAGTTTAATTAAATATGAGACAAGTTTTTAATATAAACAGCTCTAATCTTCCGGTTCGTTTTTCAAAACAAAAAATGCAAATCTTCATGGATTTCATTGCTATACATGCAAGTTTCTTTCTGTTGGCGCGCCAATAATGTGTGTGTTGGTTCCGCAATCCGCAGTATGATGGAGAGGTCTGGAGATCACACCTAATTAAAGGTCCATAATTCCATATTCTCTTCGCTGTAAGAGATACGTCAATCGCTTTCGTTGGCTGGCAAAGCACAACAAATGTGAGCCTCTGCTTGATGGCTACACAACTTTCTAGAACACTGAAGCTCCAAGTGTTTCTTTTTAATGTCTGCTAGACACGTCCGTGGATGTGAAGGGTCAATTTAGCAGAGCTCTATTGTCTGATTCTTGAGCTATGTTTCTTGATTCTTAAGTAAAATTATGGTGAAAAGCATGTGAGAAGTGATTTCGGAATGATTTTGATACGGACTGGATAATGGGGAGTGATGGGGAGATGGTGTTTTAGGCTTCCTACTCGATGTGTAAAGAGCAAAATTCACCGTCGGTTCATGACCTTGGCCGGTGGTGTCATTCAAGTCCCTGAACTTCTAAAGTGATATCTATGGATCCCTAAACTTGGCAAACGGTGTCATTCAGGCCCCTAAACTTTCAAGGTGATCACCACAGGTCCCTAAACTTGACTGACGGTATCATCTCGGTCTCCGAACCTTCAAGGTATTCACCGTAGGTCCCTAAACTTGACAAACGATGTCATTCCTATCTAAATGTAATAATATTAACAGTTATCTATAGTATTAAAAGTTTTCTCTATTTACTTCTAATTTTAGTATTATTTTAAAAGTTTTAATAGTATTATTATAGAAGTAATTTTTCTCTGTTATTAATACTATAACATTATTATTAAAACTTTTAATACTATAATAATATTATTAAAAGTTCTAATACTATAATACCACTTTTAAAAGTATTATAGTATTATAGTATTAATAATAGAGAAAAGTTACTTCTATAATACTACTATTAAAACTTTTAAAATAATACTAAAATTAGAAGTAACTTTAATAGAGGAAACTTCATAGAAAATTAATAACTTAACTTATTATCTGCCATCAGCTTCACTGAGGACATAATTCTTGACGGATATTTTGAAGAGTCGTGCTCAATGAATGTTTTGACAGTTTCCCTGAAGATCTCCAAGATATGTTTAAGGATTTAGGCAGATTTTAAATTAGATGGTTAATGCGAGAAATAACTTTAAACTATACTAGTCCAGTTAAAGTTGTATACATGCTCAAATACAATTGTGTAAAAGTTGAACTATGGAAAAAAATACAATTGTGTAAAAGTTAAATTATGGAAAAAAATCATCATTTGGTTGTTTTAATGTGCATCCCTAAAATAAAGCCACGGCGTTAGCATGCGCACTATACTAGTCCAGTTAATAATTCCCTACATTCAATGAATATAATATATATTGAGAGAAATGAAGATAATATATACAATAATACAAGAAAACTAATCAAGAGAGGATGAACTTTTTTTTTGCTACGAAAGAAGAATTATATTAGATAATAATTTGGTACATCAACACGTTACAAACACTCTGGATTATACTACAAATATCCAGAAACTGATTTTTCATCTAAATTGTACCCACGTTGTGAAAAACTCCAGATCTCAAAACCAAACATGTATGACGCTTTGCAGTATGGATGACCGCATAGGCAAACACTCAGCAAAAGGCCTGAGAACAGAGGCCCAATGAACGATGGCCAACATTCATGTAGGTAGAGTTGAGAAACTTCTTATTTCTGGTGTCTTCCTTCTTCTTCCTAGTCCTTCATCGTGGTCAGATCTAACCACAATAAAACGGAGAAGAAACCGGAGAAAATTATTCCATAGCAGCGACATCATCTCCGCCTTGATGTCATAGTCCGGAAATAAAAGTCTTCATGTCCGGTGAAGATGCTGTCGCTGTAGTTGTCGCCCTCATCTTCAACAAAGCCGCCATATAGAAAACGATTCCACCGTGCCCCCTCGCCGTCGTCGGAGAGGAGGAGCAGGAGATAAATCCCTGATACCAAGAAACGATTCCACCCTAACCCTAGGTACTCGATCTACTAGAAAAACTTATATAAAATGATGGATCCCAACTCCCTCCGGCCTCCCGCGATATGTTGAAGGGAGACCAGCGGTGGTAGAGGCGGGCGAGTCCCGAGACTTCAAGAGAGGATGAACTAATCAGGGAGATTTATGCGTAATCATGTAACGGAAGAGAGATTAAAAAGTTAACATGAAAGGAAAGAAAATATATTCATGAGAGAAAAAGATGGTTTATTCAACTATACAAGGAAACTAATCAGTCGTAGAAAGAGACATAATTAGAACCCGTTCGTTGATAATCTGAAACGACGCACTGGCGTTTAAGATTGTGTCACATCACATCACACACTGACACACGTACTTACATACAGTGGTGGTGTTAGTTAACCCAAGAGGAAGGGTATCATCAGCTATTGTTCTTCTCTTCCCTTCTTGTTAGCCGTCGTCGTCCTCTCCCTTCCACTAGTATATATCACCCACCACCAAAGCAAATTCGTTAGGAGGGGAGGCCTGCCATGGCTCGACGACGCCCTTCAGCCCCCATGACGATGATCTCCCTCACCGGCTTCACCGCCCTATCTGCCGGCCTCCTGCTCATCTTCGTCTCCTCCTTCCTGCTGCAAGCTCAAGGTAAGCATGCATGTTTTTATTTGATCCAGTCGTATATATCAGTTCTAAATTAAACCCCCTATATAAGGCCTGATGAGCAAATTAATTAATTAACAAACAAACAAGCAGGAGGCAGCAGCAGCGAGGAGTCGTCGTACGTGCCGGTGCGGAGAGTGGTGTACCGGTCCATGTCACCGGCGGCTGCGGCTGCGATGACAGAAGCGGCGGCGGCGCCGTACGAGCCGTTCGAGGTGTGCCAAGGCTGCCGGTGCTGCTCGTCGTCGTCTAACAGCAGCAGCTGCGTGGACACGAGCTGCTGCTATGCCATCGACTGCGACCTCCCCGGCAAGCCCTACGGCACCTGCGCCTTCACTCCGCAAACCTGCGGCTGCGGCGCCGCCAACAACTGCACCCAGCCGTCGTCCTGATGATCCTTCCTCACCCATGGCCCATCCATGTGTTTCTTCGTTCCCTCTTCCTGCAGCTTGGCTCTTCTCAGCTCGATGGATCGTCTGGCTCTGACAGACGCGATGGGTGGATGCAAATGCTGTGATTTGTTTGTCAGGGATCGATTAGCATGATGAACGGAGATTAATTAGCATACAGATTAGATGACTCACTCGATCACGTACTCGATCAGGGATAGATTATCCAGTTAATTCCCCGGATTCAACGAAGATAATATATACAATAATATATGTTCGTTCATGGCCGGTGTAAAGTTTTGTTTTTCAGAGACTGTGATTGCTGTTGTTAGTCTGACGACGACGACGACTGGTGATTTCAGAGGCTGGTCTTGCATTGCAATTGGTTTAGTTTTCAGAGTCGGCGGCTAGCATCGCAGCAGTTGGGTTGGGTGGTTTGGCTTTGACTCTTGCAACACAACAAGAGTACTGTCAGGGTCGGCAGCCTAACTTGTTGTCGTATACGTACGTAACACTACATGCATCCCTTTGCATTTAGAAAAAACGTCAACTGACGACGGCAATAATAGATGTCAATATGTAGTCCGAGTATATGTTCAGCTTGCTTGCATCAGTGTATATCTATATTTATGAAAGTAACAGATTGGCAATGCATAAATACAGCAACAGATAAAAATGGATATATACACACATATTACTACTTTTCTCAGCTTTTTTTAGATGATGAAACAAATCCAGCTTCATCTTTCTGAACAAGAGAATGAGACCAATTATTATTACAAACTTATGAAGTAAGAAAAAAACCATTGCCACAGCTTCTGACGTTTCATAAACTTGGAGAATACGCTTCTCGTCGGCAACATACAATTCGCTGATTTTACTGCGGGCTACTGCAAAGCTTAACGATTTCTGACGCGATCGAGTGGCATCTGTCAAGTTCTTCTGAGTTGTGACTAAACAACGAGGTAGATGCATGAGTTTGGTTTCGTAATACTCCTATAATGCAAGTGCACTGCTGGTCAAACAATGCAACCCCTACTCCAATTGAGTAGTCTATATAGGCTGCCTGTACTAGTGGTAGAGTATCTGAAACGCACGTGAGGAGGTTACTCATTCAGGTTGCAGGATTACGGAATTGATATGAGTAGGGCGTCGTGCTGGCAGCATTAATTTTCCCCACGCAATATGGCTGGGCTCGAGCAGCCCAATAGCCTCTCTTGTCTCAACCCACTCCCAATCTCCACATCTTTCTAAAAAACACTCCAATCTCCACATTAGTACCATCCGCCCGTTTCTTTCTCGTTGTTTGCCGAACGCCGCTCGAGCTTGAGTTCTAGCCTCATCGTCCGTCCGGTGCCAGCCGGCTGCCTCCCTCTCCACCGCGGCCTGCACCCGTGCTCGCCTTGCTCCCTCTCTACCCCGGCCGTTTTGCTCCATCTTCGACTAAGAGTGACGAGCAAGCAGCATCCCTCCTTTCTCTCTCCGCCCTACTCTACCTCGCTGCTCCTTCCACCAGATCCACTACGCGCCGAGAGATCCAGTGGTGGTGGGGACTGCTAAGCCGGCTGCAGGGGCTACGAGTCTTGCGTGGAGCGTAGGACTACGAAGGGATCCCTACCGACCTCGTGGTAGGGGGAGTCGATCTAGTCGATGGTGGCGCTGGTCGACGGTGGCGATGGTGCGGCTGCCTCCGGTGAACTCATGCACCGGCGAGCCTCCATTTTGTAAAAAGCAAGTAGATGTTGCGCTTGAAGGCGCACGTTGCAAGTGACTATTTCAAGTGTTGCAGATGTTTTTAGGTATGTTGCAAGTGTTTCATATAGATGTTGCAAAAGTAGATCGAGATGTTGCATATGTGGTTGTACACATATGTTGCAAACGTATGTTCTCAGTGTTTCATCTATTTTTTTCATACGTATGTGTCGGTGTTTCGGATCACCGGCTAGTACATTTTGTGATTTGCGCATCTGACCCGGATGGCCGTGTTCGGAGGACACAAGGATTTATATTGGTTCGGGCAGAATGTTTCTACGTCCAGTTTGCTACTGCTTGTGTTACCGACACTTGTTTGTAGTAGGGGTTACAAACGGGGGAGAGAGAGAGAGCCGGTCCCAAGTCTCTGGTGGAAGGATCGTATGCTGGCTGTTGAGGCGTATGGGCGTTATGTCTTAGACGCGCGTGCCTTGGAAGCGTGCCCTCCAGGGGGCGTCCTGCTTCCCCTTTTATAGACGAAGGAGAAGATACATGTTACACGAGAGAGAGAGAGAGAGAGAGAGAGAGAAGCGAGGAGAAAGAAGGCCTCCGGGGTCATGGCGCCCATCATCTCCTTTACGCGGGTCCCGTCAGTCCTGTAGATGATGACGGGGATGGCTTCACGTCGTGGCCCTGTTCATCACTGGCACTGTACATGGGCGTCATCAGCTGGTCGTGGTGCTCCATTCCGTCCCGACGAGCGGCATGGTGGGCAGATTTCCCCGTCAGAAGCCATACGGGGATTAGGTAGCATAGCGTCGGCACGCCCGACATTATTGGCGACGTGAGTCTTCAGGTACGGCCCATCGTGGCCGTGGGTCATGTCAAGACGCGCCTACTCTCTTTCTAGCGTCAGAAGTTTGACCCTGGGCTCACGTACCCTTAAACCCGTAGCGGTTGGGGGCGGTGCGGACTCCCGTTGGTCGAGGCAGAATCCCCCCTCTGAGGGGTTGGACGAGGCGAAGCCTGCACCCGAGGGGTCGAGCGAGGTGGAGCCCACACCCTCGGGGTCGGGCGAGGCGAAGCCCTCGCCCGAGGGGTCGAGCGAGGCGGAGCCCGCGCTCTCGGGATCGGGCAACGTGAATCTTGTGCCCTCAGGGTCGGACGTGACGGGGCTCTCGCCCTAGGGGTCGGGCGAGACGAAGCCTGCAGCCTCGAGGTCGGGTGACCCGAATCCTGCGCCCTCGAGGTCGAATGAGACGGAGCCCGTACCCTCAGGGCCGGGCGAGACCAAGATATGCTCTTGACCATCGGAGAGTTAGCGTTCATGGCCATCAACTTCCTTCTTCTAGATATCCCTCATCCTGATACTCGACAGTAGCCCCTGAGCCTATGGAGGAGTAGGATACTCCTTCGGAGGCTTTTTCAGACGGAAGGATTCTGAGGGTTTTGATCTCCCTTCGTGGCCCACGGGATGTCTTGGTAGGGTTGCGATTCCTCTCTATTGTGATTAGACTCTTTAGGAGCATGTAGCTGTGGGGCTCGGGGGGGTCACAAAAGATTTCTTTTGATTTCGATCCCTCCCTAGGATCCGATCGATCTATCATTGATATGCGACCGTGTACTCGGTCTCCTTGCGAGTCCAACTTCCCCCGAGCACCCGCTCGTTGTAGGGGTCCGGTCGAGGGGTCAGCTCATCTTGTAATCGTCCTCCCTCACGTGTTTTTTCGATAAAACGGAGGGCCTAAGTCATGCCATGTTTTTCTCGATGGACGAATCATGGTGCTTGGTGAGCTGTTAACGGGCTAGTCCAAGTGGGGGGCTAGCTTCCCGTTCATGGGGGTCCAGCATGGGTTAGCTGTGACCAACTCTAGATTTCTGGTGGCCAGTTCATATAGTTCTCGGGTCCGTTCGACCAGTCCCAAGGGCTCATCACCTTTCTTTGAGGAAAAACATAGACTATGCACCGACCAAGACTCGAACGTGGGTCAGGATGCTCGTGGCGCTTGTGCGCCTGAGTACTGGCTGCTAGCGGGCCCATCTCTTACCACCCCTCACTCTAAAGGTGCCCTAGAGCGGTTGTGAACCCGTCGGTGGGCCAACCTTCGAACTCCTAGGCCTTAATAGGCCATGGGAGTGTTTTCTGCTTCGTATCCCTACTTATCTGTGGTAGTTTTTGGCCCATCAAGGGGACGAACCGCTGTCCGGTGTGCCCTTTGAGGAGCGGTCGAGGGTGGCGTGTGCATGATTCTCGAATAGGCAAAGTGACGGGGCATGGCAGGCGTGTCGTTCTAGGCGGACGGTTTGCCTCTCGCTCCACCTTTCCTTATAAATAGGGGCCTTTCCCTTCACCTTTAGGTACGCGTAACCGCAACCTTGCCTTCTCTGTTTCTCCACCGCCAGTGCTTTAGATCTCTTTTCGTCAGCAAAGCCCTTGTTTCTCTTCCCCTGTTTCCATGGAGTCGTGGTACCGCTCCGATGTCACCCACGCTCGCTTGGAGGGCCTCGTCAAGCGCGGCCTTCTCTGTGGGAGGACCGACACGGTGGAGTGGATCGTGCCCGGCCATGAGGAGGTACTGGCGCCGCCCGATGGGTACATCATTTCTTTCGCACCCTTCCTCGAGCGTGGATTCATGATCCCCCCTCACTCGTTCTTTCGGGAGCTGCTGCACCACTACTAGACTAAGCTGCAGCACCTGAACCCAAATGGGATCTAGCACATCGTGGCCTTCATTGCACTATGCAAGGGGTACTTGGGAATCGAGCCCCACTTTGAGTTGTGAAGATACTTCTTCTCCATCTCCCTGTAAAAGAACAAGAAGAGGGACGCGCCGGTGCCAATGGGATGCGCGAGCATCCACCTTCGGGGGCACCGATCGGCGGAGTACATACCCTGCCAGCTCTCCAGATCCAACAAGGGATGGCATGCGTTGTGGTTCTACACGAAGAACAATGCCACCGCCCCTTTGCCGGATTTCACTGGGCGCCTCATCGAAGAGGCGCCGTCGGTGTGGTCGTGGGGGCCTCCCGAGAAGGAGAAGGGACGCTGTGCGACCTTCTTGATGCCAACGTGTTCCTCAAGGACCGTGGCCTTCACAGGGTCAATGTCATCGGGGCATACCATGTGAGGAGGGTGGCGCCGCTGATAGCGCGCGTCTTCCCACTGTATGGGATGACGCCCGATGCATAGCTTGATGGGATTGCGCTCTCCCAGGGGCCGCTCCACGACAGCGAGGTCACGCAGCGCATCAAGGAGGCGACGGATGAGTCCAACACCGTGTTCCCAATCCTGGAGCACCCCACGATACGGT